GGTATGAGGGAGCTAGGAGGCAGTTTTCGGGACATCCCACATAAACCGAGCCTTTTTCATCTTTGCCCGTGCGCCCTGTACTTGTGACCCGTGTTGATTCCGACGCAAAACTTGAAAAGCTCCTCGAAGCCCTAAACAGGGATTGGGTCTTCCGGGTTCCACACACCCTTAATCCTAAACCCCAAATTCTGAACCATGAGCCCTAAACCCCAGACCTTTATGTTGGTTTGTCTGGTTTTGGGGTTAGGGTTTATAAGGGTTTAGGGTTTAGGGTTTCCCTAAACCCTAAACCCCAAACCCTAAATTATAAGGGTCCATGCTGTTGGGATCTTCGGCTGACACTCGCAGCGTCCCGGAAGCCCCGTTTCGGCTCCTCTGGTGGTGTTCGGGGGGAGCGCCGGCTGCGAGGCTGGGAGGGATTAGCCGAGCTCCTAAACCCTAAACCCTAAACCACGGTTTAGGGTTTAGGGTTTAGGGTTGGGGGAGAAGGCTTTAGGATACGGCTTGCCTTACCCATAGGCCCTAAGGTAGTTCCTTTTGGGGTTCATATATAGAACCCTATAAGGTAATCCCCAAAAAGGAACTACTCTGGGGCCTATGGGTACTGCCTGAAACCTTCGAGGCTCTACCTTTGTGTGGTTTGGTGCGTGCCTGTGAATTCATATCGGTAGTTCTCTAACCCAGGGGGTCCATATATACTGCCATTATGGAATTAGGTCCCCAAAACCATAATAAGGATGGTCTTTTGGGACCTGATTCCATAATGGTAGTATATGTGGACCCTCTGGGTAAGTTAGGGTCCCTGTCGGGGTCCGTTTTGTAAGGGTGCCATACTAGTTTGGGGGAGCCCCAAAAGGGGGACCCTAATGTAGAGACCTACCTTTGGCGATGTCGTTCATCTTCTCAGCTTTCAGCTCCGCAGGAGTTTGGAATAACGGCGATTCGGTGACAGTGTCAGATGCTGGTTGAGTACGGATTAAAGATTGGGGATTGGGCTTGTGACGATGTGTATTCTTTCAAGAACTTGTGCCGCCTGTAAACATCCTGAACGAACGCGTTTAACGGTTGTTATACATGCATTCGTACACACTGCCCTGAAACTACTTGCTGCCACATCCTCGCGCGACACTCAAAGTGCCACAGTGTCGGAGTATTCCACCATTTCAACTCCCGACGGCAAGATATTTGCTCAATCTCGGGACACTCCACGTACCTGTCTCGAAGTGTATCGTGATACATTGAAGTTTTGAAGCACGAAGGCATAAACAACATCCATCCTAGCCAGCTTGTTTCTTGGCGGCGGGGTCGGGGTGTACCGAAGAGCACGGCAACCGGCAGCGCAAAGCCTGAAGTCTTAAATGACCCTAGCCAGCCTGAACCCGAAACACCCTACAGACCGTAAATGTATCTTAAACGTACCCCAAGTTTGGCCTTATACTGCCTGCCAGACCCTTCATACTTCAAAACACCCCGCCGGCCCCGAGCACCCTGAATAGCCAAAGGTTGAGAACACCCTCAATCTCACTACGGGTCTTGAACCCTGAAACCTAACATCCCACATAGAAGATTGAGAATCCTAGCTTGTAGGTACTCTCTGAACCCTAAGCCCGGGAAGCCTTTCCGTTCTCAAGCGGCTGTAGAGCTGTTGCGTGGAGCTTGTTCTTGTAGTTCGGCTTCTTGTTTGTGCTTTGCTGCTTGTAGTTGTTGCTGCCTTTTCCAAATTTCGTAGGGCCTCTATGGAACAACCCCTTACTGTCCTTACTTCATGATGCCACAGAGAATGCGACCACCAGGCCACTCCACCCCTAAACCCCAAACCCAACCAAGCCCTTAACCCTCAACCCAACCTTGAACTTGCGAAGCTATGCGAGCACGAAAAAAACCGTGATCACATGAGCCGTAAATAGGGCACGGGCCACCCAGATCCGAAGACTCCCCTCCGAATCGACAGCCAAGCAGCATCTACAACAATCCCAAGGTATTTGAAGCAAGCCTTAAACCGCAACTCCATGACAGCGAGCCTCCAAGTGATATCTACTTAGAGGTCTCTGTTAACGCATCTTGAAGACAGTATCGTGGTGGACCTTGCCAGGCTTGTCCGAGTGTGAGTGTCAAAAAATAAACCGCAACTCTAAACCCGAAACCCACGCCGAAACCCTGAGACCCCGAACCATGTCAAGACCCTCCCCAACCCTCGAGAACTTGCTTCTTTCGAAGCACCCTAAACCCCCACGCTGTCAGTGTGGATCTTCCAGCTGGAACGAGCAAGGGGACAGGGACATCGACATGAACACAGCTGCACCACGAATGACGCACAGCATGAGTGCGAAGCGAGATGGCTGACTTGGGCGGCACACTACATATTTGGGCACATGCTCCTGCATGCTTCTGCATGACTGACAATCCGTGGAATTCAGAATTCATTCGCTGTCTGAGTCCATCGATCAGATTCTACATGTGGACTGCGCGGCCTCTGGACTGCTTAAAGCGGAGGCAATATGAGCTGGAAAGTTGTCGAACGTACAACTTCTTGACATGTCACCTTCGAGCACGTCAGGCCCTGACCTATACAGTCTGCATGTTGTGACGTCTGAAAGTGGTGGGCCGGTAGCGACTGGAATTTGCGAATGCGAATCGCGATGACTGCATGCCGTTGTGGAATTTGTTGCATGCAATACTTCTTTGAATACTGTCATTGAGTACGCCGAGCTCTAATACAGTCTGCATTGGTGTGCCTGCGTGTCGGGCACACAAGCCTTCCTGAATTTCTGAATGTGGTATAATGAGTGCATGACCGCCCTGCAAGATGAGACTGCATGATCGTGACCGGAGAATGGCACCATGATGAATTTGGTTCTGCATGGTCGTGACCCAAGAATGCCATCACGATGAATTCTGCCCTGCTGAATTTGATTCCACGACAAATTCATGGAACGCCCGGATCTGCATGGCACAACGAGGAGTTCTGAACTGCATGAGTGAGATCATTTTGAGAGGTTATCCCGACAGATCTCGTGTATGATAGCAGTGACACACTTTACGATGATCCCCTGGCTTCCTGGATGGCGCAATTGCCGTCAAGCAAGCTGGCTACAGATGGGTCGTGGAGTAGGCGACTGTAGAAGGCTAGCGCTTTTGAAACAGAGTGGCATCACGCCACGAACACAACATGGACTGCTGTGTAGTTGACAGATGGGCGATATTCACTTCGTCATGCATACTGTTTCTTTTATTGGATCCTAGCGTTGTACTATCTGTCGGGCTCTTCTTCGCTCATGCTTTGGACGTATGCGAATAGGTCCCTCTGTCACGTTGCTCAGCATGTCCACGTAGCAATGTCGGACACTTATCGCCATGCCTGCTTTTGCGAGTGTGTGAGTCGAAACCCTCTGGCCCCGCAAAGTCGCCAAAAGCCTGTGAAACTCAGGAGCAGTCCTCCACGGTGGCTGAGCGTGGCCAGGCCGGAGAAGCTGGAGGGATCGAGGAAATAGTGCTCGGGGCCCGTAGGGCCCGTGGCCTCCTTTTACAAAGTTCTAGCTTTTAGACCCCCAGGAGGTCTGGATGCAGAAGACAAGTGAGAAGTATCCCAGGCTTTGGGCTTTCCAGTCTGATTGGGTCCGCGGACTCGAGCACTGAACAATGCAGGTGTTCTTGACATTGCGGATCTTGGGTTTGGCGGTGGTCGGGTTGGGCTCTGAGTTCAAGGTACTCACGTTTAGTGAGGTTCAGGGATGAGCTAGTTGGAGGGTTCAGGGACATCCGTGCACAGGTTCAATCCCTGTTTTCGCAAGCGTTTTTGGGTCTCCCTGTCTTGAGATCGAGTTTGCTTGCGCTATCTCTCTCTGTCTAGCGGCGACGTGCCCTAAACCCCAAACCCTAAACCTAAACCCTAGGCATACATGAAATCGGGCCTTGGTCAGGCGCTGGACTTGACCAGCAGCTGCCCCAATGCGCCGGGGCTGCATGCAGCTCTGAACTTCTAAAGTGGCTCTTGAAGTCTCCATCTGACCAAACCGCCAACGGCCCGACATCCTTCAACTCCCTAGCCCTAAACCCTAAACCCTCAACCCAAAGCCCTAAACCCTAAACCCCAAACCCAAAGCCCTAGACCCTGAGCCCTAAACCCCTGAGACCCGAGAACCTGGCCGCCGAGGCTTACCGGAATCTCGGTCTGCCTGTGGCCTCGGTCTTGTCCGAGGAGGAGGACTGCCTCGACGATGAGCGGGTGCGAGAATGAGCCTTTGCAGATGGTCTGGGGATACCGGGTGCTCTTTCGGGCTCGGCCCGAAAAGCTATGTTAATATGCAGCAACAGGCAAGACAGTCGGATGACAACCTGCTTCGGGTAGACTCCTGAAAGAGCCGTGGAGAAGTTAATGGAGTCATGGAGCCTATCCCTTCGCCCGTAACCCGGCACCCCGGGAGCGGGCCGAAGCTTGTTTGCTTGAAAGACGAAGATGATGGAGTAACCGGAAACCATGTAATATATAGGGGCCTTCAGAATTACCTATGCTATTTTGGGGGCTCCTTATTATATTAATTGTATAATACACAGCTTCAAAGACTCTTTCGAAACCTGGAAAGCCTGACGTTGTAGCCCGGATCCCGAACGGAAAATCAATGCGCTGTTCCCACGCTGCCTGCGACAAGGCGCTGCAACAGCTGGGTAGATTTCAATAATTCTGGCGGGCTTTCAGGTTTGATAAAGGAGGTGTTCGGGGTTGTGTAAAGACCTAACTCGGTCCCGCACTCACGAAACATCGGGAACCCATGTGGGATCTGCTTCTAGGGCTGGGGGTTGTGCTGCCTGCCGCCTGCTTTGTCGCAAGACTGAAAAGGATTTCCTTTCAATAATGGGGCCATAGGAGGGTCGTGGAAGCTTCCTTAGATGGCGAGTCCTAAAACCGCTGGGACCATGGGACAATGTCTTGGTTGACATGCATGGCTCTCTGCTCCCGGTACCCAGGCCTGATGAAGAAAAGGAGGTGTGATTACTTCAACATGCAGAACCAGCTCGTGTGTTCCGGCTTGATTGGCTGAGGCGGTAATGCCCATGAGGCCACCTGCAACCCAAACCCAATGTCCCGGCAAGAAGGTCTCTGAATCTAAGCCCGAAAGCCTGCAGCCTAAACCGGTCTTTCCTCGAAGCCCTCAGCTGAGGTCGCTCATCATGACTCTGTCGGGTGTCTTGACCTCCTTTGCCGACAAGGCTCCGTGTGTTGAGCCCCAAGAGGAACATGATGAAGTGCTAGCGTGCTTGAGCCCGAGTTCGTCGACCCTAAGCACGTCACCGCGGAACCCCACAGAACCCTGCCAAAACATCCCACAGAACGGGAAACCTCCATAAGAACCCTCGGACAAAAGGCTCATCCCTAAACCCTAAACCCTAAGCCCCGCACCCCGTGGAGGCCGAGCGCAAGGGCGCTTTGGCCGCCACCTTCTCGGTTTTGAACCGCTGGCTTCTGGATCGCCGGGTCTGCATGGCCGCCCTGGCAGAAGGCCGGAGCACCTGAGAGTTATGAGGGTGACGTTAGGGTTACCTCAGCATTACCTGAGAGTTAACCTTGGCGTTATTTCAGGGTTACCTTATCGCTCGTAGGGCTACTAGGGTTCAGGCGCCGTGGGCTTAGGGCTTAGGAGTTTCGGCGTTTCGGGGCTTCAGGCGTTAGGAAACTGTAGCGGTGTTAGGGTGTAAAAAGGTTTCAGTCGATGCAGGTATAGAAGCCAACCTGCATGACCTGCAGTTGCATAGTAGGGGATGCATCGCAACACTATCACCGTGCTGCGCTCTGGGAGGTCCTTTGTTTCTTCTGGGTACCCACATACCGCACCATGGCTGCACCCAGAGAGGGAGGGAAGTGGTTTGGCATTCTGGGCTCAGCAACTTGATGCGCTGCTGGCACAGTAATGCTGCCGTATGGTGCCAGTCGCTTCTGGAGATCTCTGCTTTGAGAGGCTTTGGAGACATCAGGACAGCCTTCACCAAATTCTTTACATCCATGCCGCTTGGTTGCACATGTTCAGCGTCTTGCGAGCGGGCAAGAGCAGGCAACGGACGGAGCTCCAGAAACATCCGTGACAGGGGCTGTCCTTGCAGCCGGGGCTGGCCTTCCGAGCAAAGGTGGACCTTTGTCGAATTTTTACATCGGCGACGCGCGCGCCGTTCCTCATGACCTACGAGTCGGCGAACCTTGACGAGGTTCCACTTGAGCAGCTCTGCTCGGTTGCTCTCAGAGACGGCGGGGGATCCTCAGGGTGTGCAGTCGAGCATTGCATGTCTTGCTGGGGGCACAAGCCCGAAGATCTCAAAAAGCAGATTTATCCGACCAGTCCTTGCACCGGAAGCCTGAAAGCTCGAGCCGATGACATGTTGAAATCGAAGGCCTAAAGCCCAATCCGTAATGCAGGTGCTCGATGGTGAGGAGGCTTCGCGAAAGTGGGATTGGGGGCTGCGAGGTGTTCTGTTTGGGTTGACCGGGCAAAACCCAAAGGATTCGTTGAGCTATCGGGGAGTTCCTCGTACAAGCGTTTTGGAAGGGCTTCTTGCTTAGCTGCAGCATTTGTTGCCGAGGAGCCGTCGCGTCAGCGCTCTGGGATCGGTCCAGTTGCACGGCCAAGCGCATGGAAATGTTGAAAATCTGACTGAGGCGTCCTCCTCCGCCAATGCCCACATCTCCCATCAAACGTTGCTGCACCAGCCAACGCGCCGACCTCAGCTGGACGATGAGACTATCTGTTGGTGTTGGGAGAAGCTTCTGCCGGAAGGGTTCGCCGGGACCGATCCCAATTCTGAGGACTGCTGCTGTGCAGCACTCCGTGTCAACCAGGCTGCAGCGCGAGTTGAACATACGGGGCCTAGGGCCCAGGATTTGGGATTCAGGGAAAAAGCAGCAAAAAGCTTGCGCACCTGGCACTGGGCTCTTCGTTTTTCGCCTGAAGGTCCTTGGCTGCGTTCATCTGCGTGCCATCTGGAACCCAGAAGAAGCCTAGTAACTTAGTAAGAATGAGATGATGCAAACCACTAGCAGCAACTGCGAGAAAAACAAGGAGACACTAGTGACAACAGTGGGCAGCCAGGACATGGACCCGGCACTGGCACGAGAAGCATCAGAGTGTCAAAGTGAATGAACATGGACGTGACGGGCAATTTTGAACAAAAGTAGTAAAACTGGCAAGAGACAAGAGCCAGAAGCCCATGAGCAAGCTCCTCACAAGGTCAAAAGTCGTAGCAGCCATTGAACATGAACGACGACGACGACGACGACGGCGATGACAACGACGACCACGACCACAGCCACAACCGCAACAACATCAGCAACAGCAACAGCAACAGCAACAGCAACAGTTACCGTTACATCAACTAGAACTACAGCTACAACAACTACAGTGTTACTACACCTGCGATGACAACCACAACAACAACTACGACGACGACTACTACTACGACCACGACGACGATGACGACCACGACGACTACTACCACTGCTACGACCGCTTCCACTACTGCGACTGCTACTGCTGCTGCTACGACGATGACGACGACTACTACCACCACTACGACGACGACGACGACTACTACGACGACTACTACGACGACGACTACTACTACTGCTGCTACTACTACTACTACTACTACTACTACCAGTACTAGTACTGCGACGACGGCCGCGACGACGACTGCAACGACGAGTACTGCTACTGCGAATATTACTACTAATACTGGTCGAATTTGGACCATCGCCCATCATCAGCATAATCGCACCACAATCGAAGAAGATGATAGTTTTAGAGCATGATCATGCTGGTGCGGATGTTGACGATGCTGTCACCCTCAGGAACGTTCATAGACGACGATGATGGGGATGATGATGGTCATGGCATGTCATGGCCAGTTGTAACGCTTGTGCTGGTGGTGACGATGTCAATGGTAGGGTGGAGCATGACGATGAAGATGGTGGGCCTGATGACGGCGAGCAGGATGACGATGATAGTGATGACGCTTTTCGTAAGCGAAGGAGTCGTCTTATCTCCCCCGTGGCCCGGCGCAGAGATGCAAAGCAACAGCCGGGAATGACGATTTTCAAAAGCATGAGGGTGATCCGTTCCTGATGATCACAGAGTCGGAGAAGATCGTGCTGGCGATACTGGGGTGGTGATAATAAGGTTGATCATTGCCAATGGGATGGGGGTGCTGAACTTCACCAGGAGAACGAAGGTGATGAAGTGAGTCAGGCAGGCGAACACACCAGGGAATCCTGGCACACACCGTAGACTGGAAGGCTCGCAGGGTGCGTGCTGACAGAGCTGCGGCGTGCTGCCGCTGCTGTCGCTGCTGCTGAAGAGAGCCCCGACTCTGCCCCCGCTGCGAATTCAGGGCAGTCTGATGACAGTGCCTTGGCGGTGAGTGCGCTGAGGAATCGGCATTTGCTGCACTCTTCTCGCAGCTTTGCTGATTCGTGCAAGTTGCGCTGCAACAAGCCTGCGCAATCATGCGCAATCCATGATCAACCGAGGCGATCACCCCCAGAGCATGCAGGACCTCCATCATTTGATTAAGGAGGCGCAGAACGAGTTTGTACAGTTGGAGAGTTCTTCGAAATACGCAGAAGAGCCGCCGAGATGAGTAGAAGATGACTTAAACGACAATGTGTTCTAAATCCTTTAGCCCTTTGGAGCTTTCGGAGGGGGTGAAAAAGCGGCATAAGCAGGGTGAGAAATTCGGTGTGGAGCAGTGTGGCAATCTCGTGGATCAGGGTCGGAGCGGTTGTGGGGTTTAGCTTTGGTGGGCGGCAGGCTCGTGATATTTGCTGGGACGCTAGACCGATCACAACAGAGAGGAGCTCATTATTGGGTTGCCAGCGCTAAGTCTGAAACACAAGCCAACAATACTCCATCGACCAATGGCTTGGACAGATTGGAACTCTGCTGCCGTGAGCAACAAGCCTTAGCCTTAGCCGCCTTAGCCCCAAGCCTTGAAACATACCCGGCCACTTCTCACCCCGAGGTCTTTTATTGCGTTGAAGTTATCCAATAAGCTCTAGGCGACTTCTGGTCAACCACCAGCATCTAGCAGCTGTATCCGATAAAGAACGCTCTCAACTCTTCAACACCCCCTAATCCTAAAACCCTACTTCTTCAACCCTAAGCCCGAAGTTTCGATGCCCAAAACCCCAGCAGTTTGTAAAAACCTTACCCTGAACCCTAAACCCTAAACCTTGTCCGCCCGGGAGGTCACCCCCGATGACTGGCGGTCCTTCAGCTCCCACGTCCCCAAGGCGCCCGCCCGGGAGCAGCCCGAGTTGGAGGCCGAAGTTGCTCCGGCAGCATCGAGTTCAGGGTTTAGGGTTTAGG